GCCACGGTGTTGTAGCTGGCTCTATCGCAGACGGCGTCATCGTCGTCATCATCATCAAAGCCACAGAGGCCTCCGGTCAGCGTGATCCTAAAGTCGTCTGTGACATACAGACACTGCAATACGCTGTTTACGGCGCAGTGAGTCCCAACGTTGATCAGCCCTCTCATGTTGATTATCCTGCGTGCGCGCGGCAGACAATGCTCAATAGTCCGTTGTGCAGTAAAGTGGCACACCCCTAAACAGTTCGTCCAGTGTCTTGATTGCTCCTTTGTTGGTCCCCTTTGTATCGATACACACTAGTAGTATAATTATCTTGTAGTGATACGAGCTGAAGTTTGACAGGGGAGTCAACGTGACATGTTTTGTGATTTTTATAACAGGAGCCCAATCCAACAGCGCTGCCACGTCGTGAGTGTACAGGCGTAGTAGATCGAGGGACTCAAACATATGTTGCTTTAGCTCGTCCACGCTTGGGATTCCTGAAAGTGCACTAGCTCTTAGTGTGATCTTAGTAAGACCCTGAGTGCAGTCCAGAGTGGTAACTGCGAACGCGGTATCCCGTAGCGCCTTAGCCTTTACTCGCAAGACAATGTTTCTCACAAGGTCTTTGACGAGTCCGCTGTGGTCGAGTGTCACATCGGCCGCGCCGGGGGCCGAGTCCGGGCGGCACGCGGTCTTGGAAAACTGCGCGAACGGAAGACGGGTCGGGTTTCCGCACACCAGAACCTTAGCTGTACATTTATTCAAGTTGGCCTCGCCGACCCTCGAGCCTACCCAATTTGGTACGTCGGACAAATATTCTCTGAACGTAAAGTGTGTGTGCGCTAGCGATGACACAACGGGCTGAACTCTTGTGATAGCGCTGGCAACATTCCGCCGGCTCAACTCTGTGACCAAACGCTCTATGTCTTGGCTATTTGAAAAGGAAGACTGCCATTTCTCTAGAAATGGCACAGCGGAAGATCCCGGCTCGTGCTTACTAAGCAGTTCCAAACACACAGATGTAATTCTCGGGCTGTGGGCACCTAGCAACTGTTGATGGTCCGGCTGGGGAAAGTGAGCGCTCAGATAACCCACTATGTCGATCATCACAGCCCCTTGGCCGAGTAGTAGATGCTCAGCTGCCATGTTCGTAGGTAGCACGTTGTTCTCGGCGGCAGCTTTCAATGTCAAGAGAACCTGCATCAAACACGGATAAAAGGACTCTCCCTGTTGCAACACCCAGTTGATCATCTTGGTGGATCTGAAGAACTGACCGTATTGAAACACGTACAGCCCATGAGCCTTAGCTTGCTTGTACACGGATTCCCTAGGTCCAGCAAACAATGAGGGATGTTCTTTTGTCAGTCGACATGCTCTTTCCACGACGTCGCGTTCGAAACACGCAACGTCGTCCTCCGTGGGGTTCGTGACAATGACCATGGTGACGTTGGACTCGCCTTTGGTCTGCTTAGTACGAACAAGGCATTTGACGCGACTGGGTTGACCGAGAGACGGGCTAGTCGTCTGACCTTGCTGCGTTCTCGACTGATGGTTTCCCGCAGCGGCTACATTGTACGCAGCTGGCACCTGTGGGACCGAGGGTGCGCGGGTAAGCGCGTCCTCCGCGGTAACAACACCCGTAAGCGGTCGCCCCTCCGTTTTATCGCTCGGCCGGTGGCCTCTAAGGGCAGCGTCCGCCGTGACATTGTGCATGCCGGGCACCGCGCCCGGCTGCGCGGCGGCCTGTGTTCGTTTTGCACACGGAACAAACGCCCCTACGCGGTCGGCATCTGCAGCGCAGAGCGTCTCCAGAGTACATTCCAGCGATTCGCCAGCTCTACGCTTTTCGGAGCATGCCTTTCTGACGCGATCGGACAGCGCTGTTTCTTTTTCTCTATACCACGCGGCGGGTTGCAAATCCGGCGATAAGCGTAACAAGTCTATGCCGTAGTACCTTTTGCTCGCGTGTGTATGCACCCCAAGCTTCTTTTGTTGTACTAGTACGCGGAAGTGGTCGGGAACACAGTCGTTTGCTACGATGGCATCCGTCGCTCTGTACTGGCCCACCCGCATATTACTGGGGATTACATGAACCGGCGAGGTGGTGTGTGATACGTCGTCGTTCAAATACGTGTAACGGTTCAATTTCAACAACTCGCCGGGCGTGCTACGTTCTTGGGGAAACAAGGTGATGCAAAGCACGCCCATGTTAACAAAAGCTTTGTCTCGCACGTTGCGGCCCATTTCACCCAGCGTACGCCCAATGGCTGCGGTGGTGGGCCTAGAGTGTCCGTACTTGCCGTACAGCGTCTCGGCGTCGTACGCTTTCATGTAGTTGCTTTGAAATGCAGTCGTGGGGTCCGAAGGCGTGTACACGCCGACGAGTCTAGAGAGGCTATCCCCGTAGGTCTTCTTACAGAATTCGGACGGCGTCTGAGCAGGCCTGTATTCTATCAACGGGGATCCTGTGTACAGTTCCCACATGACACAATACCAGCTGAACACGTCGCTGGCCGTGGTGGAATTTAGGCACCAGAGCACCTCGGGGGGCGTGTGCACGCGATTGCCCCGTTGCTGGTCTGGAGTCGAGTAGTTGCAGGCTGTGCCGAAATCGCTGATCTTAAACGACAGCTCCACCGGTTTTCTACCGGGTTGATGGCACACGAGGATATTTCTGTACGTCAGGTCTCGGTGTTGAACGTGTCTCGCGTGTAGGTACTCCAGTCCTCTCAATGTATCCAATTCCACAATGGGTATCATCGCCAGGTACGTGGCGCTGTCGGTGGAGGTGCTCGATTTAGGCGTCTGCAGTTTGTTCATCTTAGCCATGAATTCTTGTAAGGAGAACAGGGCTCTCTCCATCACGATCACGGCCCTGCCGCCTAACGGATACTGCGGTATGTCGCACCAGTATCCTCCGAAGGTACGTAGTATGTTTGGGTGCTTCATCGAAACGCCTATGGCGATTTCTTCCACTTGAGTGGCGATGTGCGCGTATCGGCTAAACTGATCCTCTATGAACGGCAGGCTCCAGTCTGCCATTTCTGGGAACATGTTAACTTTTGCAACTTGCACGGTGGAGGTTTCCACGATGATGCCGAACCCGCCTCGGCCCAACAGCATACTGGGATCTTGCATTGACTGCTGAACGTCAATGGAACACTGCAGGTTACTGGGTAGTCCGTTGTACACGGACCAAGGGTTTACCGTAGCTTCACAGTCAGCTACGTCGACGTACTCTCTATGGAAACTGTCTATGGAGCGGGAGAACTTTCTTTCTATTGCGGGTGAACTGTAGGTTTGTGGACGATGCACATGGAGTATCGGGTGATCGCCCTGGGGCCTCGGATGTATGCGTTCGGGTGGTTGCGCGGCGAACGTGGGTAGGAACGAAGTGCGTGTGGTGTTTGTTTTAATCAGCCGGTTTGTATTGTCCAGTAGGTCGCTGACATTCTTAGAGTACGGGGCGGTAATCTTAGGGTTAGTCATGAGAAACACCACCACAGAGTTGTACTTACTGGATGTCGCATTTATTATGTACACCAGGAGGTATTTTGTTTGCTTGCTGATTTTAGCCTCTTCCTGTACGGCTATCTCCTGTACGGCTAACAGCTGCACATCGCTCCGATCTTCCTCTCGTATATATCTTTCCAGTTCGGCCACCGTGTCGCAACTGGGAACTGGCACGAATCTACTTCGGCCGGTCTCCGAGACGACAGACAGTATCCCTTGTAGATCATTATAGCGAAACGTCCTCACGTGAAACGGACTGTATTTTTCGACCAGATCGAAAAGCAAGTCGCAGTGTCGTTTGATCCTGCCGGGGCGCGCAGCGGCAGCCATTGGCAGAGCTGTGGGGTCGGTTGTTGAAATACAGCGAAACCAGAGCAATCTTCCCCGTCCTTTCTCTCTCGACAGGTAAATAGAATATGAACTCTCGCAGAGAGATCACGTTTTCGGGGACAGCAACAGCCAACCTGTTTGAGTGTTTGGTGATGAGCGGCTCGCCTGCCACGGGCTACCTGCACGCCGCCTCGTTCAGGGATGTGAGGACACTTCAGATGGGCCTACAGCTTCTAAGGGACATGTGGACAAAGGTAGATGGGTTGTACATCCCGAAATCCGACTTAGAATCCCTGCATGCGATGGAATATAAGAGCGCTGGATCCCACACTCCGGATATCCCTCAGTGTATTGCAGTAGACACAAGGAAACTGGCTAGGTATTACATATATCTCCTTTTCCGTTACTGTGTCAGCGCAGCGGAGCACGGTTCGGCTGGCAGAGTTCACAAAGAGCACACGCTGCATCTAACGGACATCCCAACGTCTTGGATGCAATCTGTGGCATCCACGAATTTTCCCTCCGCTCCTCCGATGATGAACACACACCAGAGCGTTCCCAGTGTGCGCCAGCAGCCTCAACAGCATCAACAGCCTCAACCTAGTGGAATGACACAGATGAATAGTACCCATCAACACGAACACAGGTATAACGCTACACATGATCAGGAACACTTGACGCTCCGTGATATTCAACCGCAACAACATCATCAACACCAGCAACTCTATAACCTCGGCGACGTCCCACTTCGGCATACTCTAGCACACGAACAAACAGCAGCCGAACGTAACAGACAACTCACCTCGACGCACAAGGTCAACCCAGAGATCCCACCAAAGAAGCCCCGTGCTAGTGTCGGGAAACGGCCCCACGTGCAGCGTCGCCTCGGAGGAGCGTATCAGTCTGCTGTGGAGAGCGAGGATGATGATTAGAGCTCTCTCTATCTCACGCGCACACACCCGCACGCAGACACACACACAGACAGACAGGTTGGTGAGACAATGTGCCAGGTTGGAGCTGGCCGACACACAGACACACACACACACACACACAGAGAGAGAGAGAGAGAGAGAGAGAGAGAGAGAGAATATAGTATAAACACAAACACACGTACAGGACTAGGTAGAGGAAAGGAGGAAAGGTGACGCGTTGGACACCAGTGGAATATACAGAAACAGCTCTTATGTCAAACAACTATGGCTTTGCAAGGACACAAGGCTGAGGTTGGTCATTTCAGGGAAGGAATGTATGTCAAATCTGAGCACCACGTACACGAAAGTCTGGCCAGAACATGTGGTGTGTGTATGGACGTCATACTCACCAAACAGTATCCCTCGGAGCGCGTCTTTGCCATCTTACCGAACTGCCAACATTGCTTCTGCCTGCACTGTATACGAACCTGGAGAAGAAAGACAGATGTTGTGTCATACAACGCGGCGCAGGGATGTCCTGAATGTCGGACTGTGTCCTTTTATTTCATACCGTCTAACTGCTGGGTGACAGATCAGGACGAAAAGAACGAGATCATCAGTCTCTACAAAACGAGTCTTCTGTCCAAAATAACATGTAAATATTTTCTCAAAGGCAACTGTGTATTTGGGCCGGACTGTTTCTACAAGCACAGTGCAGTATCGCCCAACAGACCACTGTTTTACTAGCGGATCGACACAGCCAGCGCAGAGAAGTGACTGTGGACAGTGTTACACGGCCTGCAAGTGACTGCAAGCGTCCTATTTGGAGAT